GGGGCTTATTTGCATCGGGGTACCCCTTGTGAATGAGTAAGGGGTACTTGTACCCCTACCCATTCACTAAAGGGTTAAATAAAATAGTTATTAAAAAGTCCAGAATTTTGATAAAATCCTTTATTTGGAAAAAAAAACAAAAGACATGTTTTTGACAAGTCTTTTATTTGTAAAAAAAAAATGGATGCACCGATGTAATCCAGGATCAATCACGGCGTCCAGCGTTGTCCACGACAACGACGAAATAATTCAGTTATACTACCTCCCTGCAGCTAACTAATATGGTATTCCTGGGGTTAGTAAGGCACTTGTCCCGGGGTTTGTTACACTACGGCCCTGTGGTTAATTAAATTTTTTTTTATGGTTCTGGAGTTAAATAACACTATAGCCTGGGGTTTATTACACTACGCCCCTGGGGTTAATTTGATTAAATATGGTTCTGTTTTAGCCCTAAAGCACGTACCCCCCTACCCTCTACTGAATTTACCCCCTTTCTACAATCTCTGGAACGCTACTGCAAATCACAAACAACAAATTACAATTTATAGGCCCCCCCCTCCTTTCTTTTCATACGACCTGATCTGGGTTAAAGACAACAAGTCTTGCGAGGGTTGTAAAGTGTATGGCTACCTTAACTTTTGTTAACAATGCAGGAGTCCATGTGGAAAACAGTTTACTACATGTGTGTTGTTGAATTGTCCTGCTCTAAGGATTTTGTGAACTGCTGATCCACTAGCCTTGCATTTAACACGCACAGGGCAGCCTTTAGAAATTTCGGGGCCCCTTACACGGCTTTATTGTGTGGGGGGTGCAGGTAGTCTTACCTGCACACTTTTCAAGCAACTTTACTTTCTTCCAAGATCTTGGGACCGTCGGCAGCTACCGTTCCCCCACACTGCAGTCTCCCTGCAACAACGTGATCATCTTGGCGGGCAGCGGCGGGAGAGAGCTCAGAGCTGGGAGAGACGGGGAGGAGGTGCAGCGTGAAGCGTGCAGTGCATGTGGAGCCGCAAACAGGGGCAACTAATTGAAAGCCGACTAATCGATGATGCTAAACGTTAACAACATTTTCCATCACCGATTTTAATCGACCTAGTCGATTAGTTGTTGCAGCCCCGGTCCCATCAGTCTCTGTACAGAGGAGCTTACACTCTAATGTCCCCTCCCCCCACAGTCACATCAGTCTCTGTACAGAGAAGCTTACACTCTAATGTCCCCCCCACAGTCACATCAGTCTCTGTACAGAGAAGCTTACACTCTAATGTCCCCCCCACAGTCACATCAGTCTCTGTACAGAGAAGCTTACACTCTAATGTCCCCCCCACAGTCACATCAGTCTCTGTACAGAGAAGCTTACACTCTAATGTCCCCCCCACAGTCACATCAGTCTCTGTACAGAGAAGCTTACACTCTAATGTCCCCCCCACAGTCACATCAGTCTCTGTACAGAGAAGCTTACACTCTAATGTCCCCCCCACAGTCACATCAGTCTCTGTACAGAGAAGCTTACACTCTAATGTCCCCCCCACAGTCACATCAGTCTCTGTACAGAGAAGCTTACACTCTAATGTCCCCCCCACAGTCACATCAGTCTCTGTACAGAGAAGCTTACACTCTAATGTCCCCCCCACAGTCACATCAGTCTCTGTACAGAGAAGCTTACACTCTAATGTCCCCCCCACAGTCACATCAGTCTCTGTACAGAGAAGCTTACACTCTAATGTCCCCCCCACAGTCACATCAGTCTCTGTACAGAGAAGCTTACACTCTAATGTCCCCCCCACAGTCACATCAGTCTCTGTACAGAGAAGCTTACACTCTAATGTCCCCCCCACAGTCACATCAGTCTCTGTACAGAGAAGCTTACACTCTAATGTCCCCCCCACAGTCACATCAGTCTCTGTACAGAGAAGCTTACACTCTAATGTCCCCCCCACAGTCACATCAGTCTCTGTACAGAGGAGCTTACACTCTAATGTCCCCTCCCCCACAGTCACATTACCCGCTGGACGCAGGGCTTCCTGACCTGCTGGACACTAGACATGTGCATCGGCAAAAAAAATGTTGAGTTTCATCCTGTTTTGATTCCAATTTTGGGTTATTTCTTTTTTTGGGATTCGGAGGAAATTCGTTAGCGGTAGTCTGTACGAATGTTCATTTCCGTTTCATGTTCATATTGTTCGTTTCATTGCAGCAAAGTGATATTAACATTTTTTTTTTTTAATTGTCACTTTGCTGTAATGAAAATTTGTCCGCAAACGAAAATGCGTACAGACTACCGCTAACGAATTTCTTCCGGAAAACTAATTTTTCCAAAACAAATCGCCCATGTCTAGTGGACGCTTAGGGTTAGTTCACACCATATGCAGTGCGCTCTGGCTTGATTCTGGCCAGAACGCACTGCCCGTATTGCGACCGACTCACTTTTTTGCCAGGCTGGAGAGGGCGTGGCCGGCAATTGAAGTGAATGGCACCGTAGTCACGCCCTCCGGCTGCAATGCAATCGCCCACACAGGATCGCAAGGCAGATTGTGTCTGCAGGGCGTTCGGGTGCGGTGCGATCAAAATAGTGCTTGCAGCATTTTAATCGCACCACACCCAAACGCACTGCAGGCACAATGTGCCTTGCGATCCTGTGTGGGCGATCGCATTGCAGCGACATATGCAATACCGATTTTACTACTATGACCACCTATTGGTACATTTGTTCTATAATACTAGATAAGTCATACAATAAGACTTATAATTTAAATCTTAATAGTATGATTTACATGTAGTACAGAACATGGATATATTAGTAAAATCTGTATTACAATTACACAGCATATCACCAAACACATGGACTGAATAATCTTTGCAGCAAGTGTTTAGTGAAATGCCTGTAAATGCAACACAATCCAGGTTGTTCCTCCCCAGTCCTGCTCCCAGACAGTACATGGACAGTACATGTGTGCAAGTGCTAAGATGTAGTGTCCATGTACAGCTAAAGACATAAGTGCAAATACAGATAATGAATGTTAACAGGTTTTTTTCTTTTCAGAATTACCTTTAAAATTATGCTGTCTGGCAGTACCCTCCCCCTCCTTCTCGTCCGTACCTGTCGGATCTCTGTGACAGGCATCGGGGGAGGAGCTCACAGCAGGAGACACGCTCGAACAGCCGACTGGTCTCTTCACAGTTCACACAGGCCGGCTGCTACAGAGGATGAACGGCCGTTCTCTCTCCCTACGTGCGCTGCTGCAGCTCTTTCTCTGTCTGCAGCTGGGGGCAAAAAGGGCAGCTGTTGTGGGCCCCTGTAAATTATAGGGCCCACGGTAAAGACGGCCCTGAGCTCTTCTTACCTGCTCATCTGGCCTCCTCCTCTGCCGCTCGACTGGCCGGAAGTGACATGATGTCACTTCCGGTTGGCCCGAGATCATTCGAGCAGCGGCGCTGATGGGGCCCCACACTGCTCCTATGCCGCTAGATCGCCAATGCTGGGGCCCGGCGCTCCTAGGGCCAGGGCTCCTCGCTTGTCAGCAGCGGCCGATACTCATGTAAGGGTCCCGGCTGGGCCCTTAAGGCAGGCCGGGCCCCTTACATGAGTATCGGTGGTACCCCCCTGACGGCGGCACTGGGAACGCACATATACAGTATAATAATTTGTTAGTGAAAATGGTAAAGTAAGCAAAAACCAGTGTGGATTTATGAAAGATCATTCTTGTCAGACCATCCTGTTATCATTCTATAAGGAAGTGAGTATGAATTTATATAAAGGAATGCCAGTGGATGCAGTATATCTGGATTTTGATAAGGCACAGTACCTCATAAATGTTTAATTTACAAAATGAGGCCCACTGGTATAAAATAAATTGTAGCAAACTGGTTACAGGAGGGTAGTGATCAATGGTTCATTCTGTAAATAGACTGAGGTTGTGAATGGTATGGCCCAGAGCTCTGTCTTGGGGCCAATGTTGTTTAATTTCTTTATTAATTATATTGAGATTGGAATTAAGAGTTCAATTTCAGTGTTTTCTGATGATACCAAATTATGCAGTGACATAAAATTGCAGCAAGATGTATCATTGGGTCCTTGTAGATCACAGACTCAACAGCAGCATGCAGTACCAATCTGTAGCTAACAAAGCTAGCAAAATATTCTCTTGTAGATAAATCCATTATTCTACCCCTTTATGAAACATTGGTTTGTCCTCATCTTAATTATGCAGTTCAGTTTTGGTCACCAATCCACAGGATGTCCTTGAACTAGAAGGAGTTCAGAGAAGGGTAACAAAATTAATAATAATGGGGTTGGAAGATATCATCTATTACAGGGCTCAAAATTTCCACTCGCCCGCTCGCATTTGGCGAGTGGAAATAAAGAGAGGGCGAGAGAGTGGAAATTCAGTCAGGCACGCGGTCACGGATGGCGTACCTGACTATGAGAGCAGCCAACATTTATTTACTCTAGGGAAGAGGCACTTGATGGAAGATATGATCACAATGTAAACTGTAACCTTTTTACTCTAAGGTCCCGGAAGAAGACTCATGGCCACAATTTAAGACTGTGCAGAAGGGGTTTTTTTTACTCTTAGAGCAGTGAAAATGTGGAACACTCTTCTCCAGAAAGTAGTATTAGCTCAGATTGTTGATAAATTCTTAAAAACCTTTAGATGTCATGCTCAGTCAGCATAATATACATGGGCTATGGGAATTCTTAAATTCAATAGGGGATTGATCCAGGAATGTTACCCTCTTACAGAAAGTTGGCCTATGCTTGTAGCGTTTGTTTCTTGCCTTCCTCTAGATCCAGCACATAAATCTCAGACTCGCACATACAGAGGTTGAACTTGACGGACCTATATCTTTTTTAACCTTATCTACTATGTAACTATGTACCATGTAGTTATGTTTTTGCAGCTGTTTTCCATAACTGGATATTAAAAGGCTTTAATAAATTACATTCATTGCTAACTGTAAATGTCAGAAATCCCCATTCCACATTTGTGTGTTTCATGCAGGCCCCCCTGGGCCACCAGGTGGTGTGGTTGTCAGGGATGTGAAGGAAACAAGCATTCAGCTGACCTGGAGTCGAGGGTTTGATAATCACAACCCAATTAGTCGCTACATGGTACAAGCGATGGAGCCTGAGACAGAGATTTGGAAGCCTGCAAAAACAGGTCAGTGTTATTTGCTTAATTGTTAATGTAAATGTATGTTATGGTTGGTTGAGGTGCACACTAATTTTCTCTATTCGCATAGATGTCAACCCAGAGAGGAGTGCACCAGGGTGGTCAAGTAGTGGTATGCAAAGCATGCCACGGATAAAGTGGGTTTTGCTAATTTTAGGTGTGGATAATTTGTTTAAGGGCTGTGGATTGTATTCAAAATAGCAACAAAGTGACAGGCTACAAACATTTCTTTTTTTGGAAAAATGGATGGTCATGCCTGAGCATGACTGCACACATTCTAGTGCAGACAGCCAGGGACTGCACACATTCTACAGGAAAGGAGATGGTCAGAAACTGCGAACACTTTACAGAATATTTTATGAATTACTACCCTCCCCACTCAAGCCATTCTTACATTCCAAAATAGGATAGCTTCACTTCTGTGTACTCAGTGGGAGCATTTTAAAAGATAAAGTGAAATAGCTACACTTGTCCTAAGATTGTGGAGGGCTAAATGTGTAATAATATATAACAGTCTGTAACGTCACACATTTTCAAGAGAACGACAAGGATTGACCACACTGTACAGGAAAGGAGATGGTCAGAAACTGCGGACACTTTACAGAATATTTTATGAATTACTAAAGCCATTCTTATATTCCAAAAAAAGGATAGCTTCACTTCTGTGTACCCAATGGGAGCACTTTAAAAGATAATGTGGCATAGCTACACTTTTCCTACGATTAAATGAGTAATATATATAAAATGTTAAGTTACTGCTGATTTAGCTGGTTGTTTTGGTCCTACAGTACAATAATTTCAGTGCACAAGGCCACTGAGGAGGGAAAGGAGGAAGACAGCACTAGCAGGGCAGTATTGGAAGATGCATATCACTGTTCTGTGCCTAAGCTGTAGGGACACATACAGATAGACGGGAGGCTCCACTGCCCCTCTGAAAAGCGATGTGCAGTGGACTGCTTTTCAGAAGTTTGGCAGAGCAGCAACTGTCTGCCATTCAGGAGGTGATATTGCCACCTCCTGAATGCCATGTTTTAAACAATGTTTTATCCCATTTGGGATTTTAATTTGCAGTACTAGAAGCTTCCCTATTCCCCTGGGTGTAAGAGTGACACCCACCGTGCATGTCTTGTGTGCTCTTGAAAAATGTTATAGGCTTGTCAGGGGATCAGAAGAAAGATCAGGAAATCCAGACACCGGCAAAATATGAGTGAGCTGAGTTCTGTATTTGGTGGCAATAAAACGCAGGTTTTAAAGAGACTGTGTCACTAAACTATTTCAAATATGTGCTCTACCTGCAAGGAAGGTAAGTAGATAAATATCTCTCCCTCCACATAAGCTGCAGAATGCTTATACTTCACTTATTCATTATGAAGAGAAAACATCCCCCAAAGTCTCTTTGCTCCACACAGGGGTTTTTCCTGCAGAACCCTACCTCACCAGTGTGTTCTGCAATGACAAAGGAAGACACCATTAAGTTCAGCAAAGGACCACATGAGATCAACACTCCTGGAAGTGTTCGTTTCTATGCTTGCTGCATTTTTGTAACCTCAATAGAGATACATTAAATGGTAGTGCTTACTTTGGTACTTGGTGCATAATGTTGAGTTAGCCACTATGTGCTATAAAGATCCAGGGCCATGGTTCACTGGTCTGGGGAAACCCTGTCCCTAAAGAGCCAATTGCCACAAGGGAGTATGCCCCCATAATGATTGTCTTATAAATGTGGTACACCTTTATTAATGTGATGCACTCATGCCCGGCATTAGAGCAGCTTGAGGCAGCCCACCCCAAGGTCTATAGCTTGAGTTCCATGAAATTGCTCAGACGTTCTAAAACCTTTCTGATTCATTAAATTTTGGAACCAGTTTTGTATGGCGACTAGGCTCACCCAAAAAAACTGTTTGCACCTTCTAAGAGGTTTGGTCAATAATATGCTATTGAGGAGAACCTTCTTAAAAAATGGTTTGTCCTGTAGTGGATCCTGCCATTTCATCTTTGAACTGGACCATAATGGTTCCTGTGAAGGATGTTTCTGTTTCCAAGGATCCGGTAGACAAGAGGTTTGAGCCCTCTTTGATGCCTTATTCTTCCTAGCGGGTACGGTCATGCCACATGCCGTTGCTTCTATGGCAACCTGTCAGATTCCTGTGATCTGGACTAGACATCTGAACAAGGATTCTGTCATCCTGACAGAGCCTTCTGTTCTTCAATAATTGGAGCTCCTGACTGTTGCCCTTCACTATTGCATGGACGCGTTGGCTGATACACTTTACCAAATTTTTAGAATAAGCCTCCTTGTGGTTCATATGCTAAGGATTCTATGACTTAAATGCGGGGTTATGAAGTTTCTCTGCAAGAAGCAGCTTGAGAAGATGCCCTTTGAAATGGGGTGCCTCTTTGGTACTCCCCTGGATATTTACATAAGGGAAATCACAGGGGTAAGAGCACTTTTTCCCCAGCAGAAGCAGGCAAGGGCCCTTGCAGGAAAGTCTGGCATTTCAGATACTTTTTTTCCTCCCTGCAAAAGCAGACAGACCTTTATGCTGCTCTCACTCAGATGAGGTCTCAGGGGTCTCACCCTTGTTCTGGGTTTCTACTCGAACCTGCTTACAGTCTCCAAACCCAATGGGGGCTTTTGCCACATCTTGGACTTGAAGTACCTTAACCCAGTTCCCTCAGATTCAAAAAATTTTTATGGAATCCATCAGGTCGGTGGTACTGTCAGTTCTTGGCCTCAGTGGACATCAAATGCACTTATTTGCAGATTCTAATCCTTCTGCACCATCAGTGCCTCCTGTGCTTTGCTGTGGGCCTGCAACTCTTTCAGTTTGTTGCTCTTCCATTTGGGCTGTCCTTGACAACTTGAGTCTTCACAAAGTTGTTTGCCCCATTCCTGGCTTTGCTTCGTTCTCCGGAAATACACACATAGTGTGATATCTAGACAATCGTCTTCTGAAAGATCAGTCATAATAGGGCCTGTGGACCGATGTACTACGGACAGTGCAGACTTTGCACAGGTTTGATTGGATTCTAAACATTCAGAAATCTGCCCTGAAACTGACACACAGGTTGGAATGCCTGGGTTTGGTCTTGGATATTGCCCTGTCCAGGATTTTTCTTCCTTTTATTCAAGAGCCCCACGTCTTTTGCATGAGGGTTCTGGGCAGGTGCTGACTGGCAACGTTTGGCCCAGGGGGCAAGTACAACCCAGGGGCCCATGATGCAGTGACTCGGCACCCCTTCGACAGCTTAGTGAATAACCCCCTCAGTGATAAAGTAGTGCTCTATATGTCATGAGGGGGTAAAACAAAAATTAACTATTTAGGGTGCAAAACAAATCTGCAGCTTAACTGCAGATAATTACCATAAGGGGTTAATTTTTATAGTGATCTACTTTATTTGATTTGTTTTTTACATTTTAACATATCTCTGGGACAGTGCTGACAGGGAGAGAAGGGGTCATGGCATGTCAATGTGTTTTAACATTGGTTTAGTATTCAGGCAGTGATTATGATATGTAGTCATTCTCAATACCTTATCTGTGGCCATTAGTGACAGCTAATCCCAGCATACTGTATACTGGGATCAACTGTCACTCAGGGCCATCAGAAGGCCTGCACATCTAATAAGAGCTGTCACTAAATGCTTCTGAGAAACAGCATTTAGTAACAGCTCTGTACATGCTGTGATCTTATTGATCCCATCATGTATGTATACTGCCTAAGAGTGATAGGAGTGTGATTGTTAACAGCAATCACACTCCATTCACTCTCAGGCAGCTAGTGCACAGCAGGGCCTGCCCCCCGCCACAGGCACGGTCACCGAGCTATGAATTCATCTGCCCACGGTTTTGACCCTGGTAATTCCAACGCTGTAACCCACCAATGCATTATACAGCAATCCAGAATTACACACATAGTGGTGTACCTATAGAGGACTACAACTCCCAGGAATACATTATACAGCAATGTAGAATACCATCGTCTATAGAGGACTACAACTCCCAGCAATACATTATACAGCAATGCAGAATACTATCAGCTATAGAGGACAACAAATTCCAGCAATACATTACACAGCAATGCAGAATAATGCCATCAGTTATAGAGGACTACGAATCCAAGCAATACATTATACAGCAGTGCAGAATAATACCACCAACTATATAAGAGTACAAATCCCAGCAATGCATTATACAGCATTGCAGATTACCACCAGCTATAGAGGACTACAAATCTAGAAATTAATTACAGTATAATGTAGAGCAGCAAGAATATATATACAGTACAATTGTTGGGGGGGGTGATTGTGCTGATCCATTGCTGGTGCATGAATTACACAATATATATACAGTACAATTGGTGGGGGGAATGATTGTGCTGATCCATTGCTGGTGTATGAATTGCACATGCACCAGCAATGGGCCAGACTGGCCTAGGAAGCTCCTCTGTAGTCAAATCACATGCATCTTACAGCTCTTTAATGCTCATCCTGGTGCTTCAGCACGCTGCCATGTTATTGGCCCCTGTACAATGATCAATTGTGGATTTTCCTGGAGCCAAAATATTATTGTTTTTGGAAGGGTTCAAGCCCAAACTGCTATGTAACTAATGTGTGTTTATTGGAGATGGTTGTTTAAAGTGCTCCATGAAGTTTAAAGTGATTTTATGTCAATGAAATGTATTAGCACTGTATATTCAATACATTATTTTTTTAATGGAAATAGTGTATTAGGTTGTTGATCTATCTTTGGACCACCGAGAAAGCCCCAATAAAATTTTTTATATGTAGGAGAGCATACACCTACTGTGCATGGATTGCAGGGATCTGTAGTTTTACAGCAGGCTAGCTGTTTAGTTAGGCTGCGTGGGACCTATAATGCTCTTCTTTAACCTCTTGCCGTCCGCCCGTAGTAAAAAAACAGACGGACGGCACTGCTGCATTTGCGGGTTGCCGTCTCCAGACGGCAATTTTTTTCTGCTCGCGCG